TGGGAATGTAAATAGGAAAAATGTTGAGGGTATTGGGTTATTTATTGAAGCAGGTCCAATGGAATATGATGACAGCTTCAGCTAGCTCAGTGGAGATGGCAATGAAGAAGAATAGAATTAAAATATCTGTTTAGGTAAAATCAGCAGGACTAATTGGCTAATGGGATACATGATGGAAAGAAGGGGAAAATTCAAGGATAATTTCCAGATTATCTGAAATGATATGGATAGGCTGTACCATTTACTGAGATGAGAAACAGTGAGATAAATTAGTTTAATAAGAGGAAACCTAAATTTAGTTTAGGACTTGTTTAATTTGTGATGGCTATAAGATACACAAGAGAAGATATCAGGAAGGCTGTTGGATATAAATCTGTAGTTCACTTTAAATCATTGCAAAATTGAGATTACTTGGTGAGATTATTAGATTTCTTCTTATTAAAAGGGAGGGGCAGAACTGAATCTTATAACACTCCACCATTTAGAAGTTGAGGACAGCAGGAGGAGCCAATAAGGAAGAATGATTAAAATGACCAAGTAGGACTTAGGTGACCCTGAAAGAATAATTTCAATGGAATAGTGGAGCAAAAACCTGTTTGGAAGGGTTGTAAAGTGAAATGAGGTGAGGAAGGGAGATAGTTATGTAGACAACTCTTTCAAGATAGTTGGTTAATGAAGGATAGTCACAAAAGGTAGCTGTGATATTGCCACTTAAATGGAGTAGTACGGGATTCTTTCAAGATAGCTAGAATATGTATTACTGAGAAAGGGACAGGAGCTAGAGGTAATAGAATGGTCACTGAGTGGTGACTGCAAAGGCAGCAAATCTGGTATATCCTTTTACCATATTTAATAATACTGAAAAAGCACATGTGGATCACCTTTTCATCTCCCATGCCAGTCAATAGTAAATGCTCACTAAATACTTGTGGAAGATAAAGAAAGAAGGGAGAAAGGAAAGGAAGGGGGGGGCAGGGAGGGAAGAGAGAGAAAAAGAATCAGAAAGGAATCCCTTCTCTTTTCCTTGTTTTCCCTCCATTCTCATTATAATTGTGCATTCTTTCTCATGGAGGTCCCCAAGAGCTCTATTAGCCTAATATTAGTTTAATAGTTTTAATCCTTAAAACAATCTTACATACTTAGGTATTATTGGTCTCATTTCACAAATACAAAAACCAAAGCTCAGAGAAATTCTCAAAGTTCTTTGTTCTTCTTAGATATCTCTAATCCAATGACCAAGAGTATTACTTTTTGCCCATCAATAAACAAACTTGACTGTTAGAATTAATCTCCAGGCAAAATAATTACTTAACAAATGCTTATTGATTGGGTGACCATATGCACTTCAGCTGGACGCTGAATTTACATTTTAACGAATGGTGAAAAATATGTGATTTATGTGAAGATACTAGACTAATGTCAGTTACAGATAAGAAAGAACTAAACATCATATAACTGTATACTACATAGTGACAAATGTACTATTGCAAATGTGAAAGTTGCTAATACGTACTGTTTGTCCATTGGATAATTGCATGGGTATGGCATTATGATAGCCTTACTATGTTGTACATTAGATAGACTTGGTCTTTATTCTCAAGAAGGTTACTAAGGAGAATTAACAATACATTTCATACATTACTATTAAGTTTTCTCCTGCAGATTTGCAAATTTATGTGCAAGGAAAAGTTACTGCAATTATACACTTTTTTTTTCCATTTCAAAACTCAATAACTCATACAACTTCTGGATTATCTCATCATTTCAGATAACCATGAAGACTCTCCTAAAGGTATCCCTTTCCTTTATTTTTTTCCTATCTCTCCCTCCCCTGGTGTTTTTAATCGGCCTATGAAAAAAATTATATAAGCTAGCCAGGTAACATTTTATGCATTTTCAAAGGGTAGTAATTAGTGAATTATTCAATTTCAAATGAAGACATCAGAAACTTATCTGGACAGTCAATGGTACTGTCACATATATTTTTTCATTAAAACATTTTGTACATTAAAAACCTCCATATATGAAACAGTTATG